GAAATCCACTAGGATCCTGACTTCCTGTAGTGATCTGACGGCACAGCGGCTTGGCTCCATTGAAATCCCAAGCAGTGTTGTCAGGCCTGCCTAAGTTCTCCCATGCAGGGTTACAAAACGCCCCCCCTCTCCTCATCCCCCCATCCCCCATCCCTCTCATACTAACTACCATCCCATACCAGATGCCGCTTCACCTCCCCTGCTATTTCATTGCAGCATGGCCAGCCCACTACAGGAACATACTAGCTTTCAAAACATGGGAAAATCTGCATGTATTGGGGAAAATCTGCATGTATTGGGGAAAATCTGCATGTATTGGGGAAAATCTGCATGTATTGGGGAAAATCTGCATGTATTGGGGAAAATCTGCATGTATTGGAGACCTATGCTAAATTTGGCTCATTGGAGAGTTCTAGGCGAGTTCTAGCACTGACTTGATAGGGAGTGTTTTGGACCTCTGCAGAGAGACCACTGCTTGCAGACAGAGAGCAGAGACCCTCCTCTGCAGCATGCTGGCAGTGCACAGGCTTTTCTATGGTTGTAAACTGTAAGTCTTTGCCCCCCCTCCCCCCCTTTGTTTTGATGCACTGTACTTAGTTGATTTTAAACAGAGTTCGACTGGGCTTTAATACATGACAAAGGATTCTCAGGGCACTTTAGGTTAGCCAACAGGAGAGCACAACAGCAACTGCCAGCCTTGAACTGTAAAACCTAAAAATTAGCCATCTGTAAAAAATAAGTCAAGGCAACTGGACCTGCTGTATTTTCCTTGTAGACGTTTCACTGGTCATCCGACCGGCTTTCGCAATTCAGAATGACTTGTACAAAATATCTCTGCGACTCGTACAAGTCATTCTGAGCTGAGAAAGCCGGTCGGATGACCAGTGAAACGTCTACAAGGAAAATACAGCAGGTCCAGTTGCCTTGACTTATTTTTTCCAGATATACCATGACCCGGACGAATGAGAACCTTCACAGACACCTAAAAATGAGCCGCTTCCCTGGCGCAATTACTGGGAGTGCAAACTTCAGCTTGAGCCGTTGAACTCTGTAAATAAAGGAGCAAAAAGGAAAACATTTTGAAATGGAACCCAGGGGGCGGAGT